ACGGCGCTCCCGCTCTTCCCGGGCTCTGTCGGCCTCGTTTCTCGCTCTCTGTATAAAAGCGGAACTCTCTCCTCTTCCAGCTGCGCTCTGCAAGCGGGCAGCCCCGCTGGGTCCGATGCCCAACGAGGATATTGACGTCAGCAACTTGGAAGTGCTGGAAAAATACCGCAGTTTCACTCGCTACTTCAGGCTGGCGGAAAAGGAGAGCAGGAAGCCCCGCTGGTGGAAGACGTACCGGCAGCACACCAGCCCCCAGCCAGGTACTCGCAGAAGGAGCTGCGTTGCGCGGGGTTTTGCTGCTGTTGGTCAAGGAAGCTGTTGTTGGGGCCACGGGTTTGCCCCAAAACCCGCCCTGTAAAGAGCCGATGAGGTGCTTTGGCACGAAGTTGGCCCTTCTCCGATGTAGAAGTTTGCAGAGCACACATGTCTTCAGGGGAAAGGGATGGTAGTTTTTGGAAGGAGGGAGGCTGGCCAGGACGTGCCAAAAGACGTGGAGCAGCGTAAAGAAGTGATTCCTTGGAACCCCAATAGTATCAAGAAAGCAGACCAGGAACCAGAGCTTTAGACCCGCAGCAAATAATACAGTTTGGCCGCTCTGCTGAGCGGCCGCAGAGACCAGACCTGCTCCCCAGCCAACAAACCTGGGGGTCTGGGGTGCGATGAGCTGGGGGAGGAGGCGGGAGCAGAAGCGTGGAGGTGCAGAGGGAAGGCAGAGGTGGTAAAATCGAGTCTCTGATGTCTTGAGGTTCGCATCTCTTTCACGCGCTCTTTACGCTTTTGTAGGGTTTTTGTGTTTGGGTGTTTTGGGTATTCACATTTTTCACGTACGTGATTTTTTCCACCCCTCTCTGAAGAGCCAAAGACCGACATCAGCCTACCGCGTGATAAGCTGCTGCGGGCAAAGGAAATCAAGGAAAGAAAAAAGATCCTGAGGGAGAACCGCCAGAATGCCGAGATGGAAAGAGCAGCGCGGCTCCGGACTGGTCTGTGCCCCGCCACCTCCCTCCCTGCCCCGGCCGCTCTGGGTCCTCAGCTGCCTCCTGCAGCGTTTCTCTCTCCTTGCAGCTCTGATCCCCCTCGACGAAGTCAGAGCTGAGTGGGAGAAGACCAGCGGCCCGTTCCACAAGCAACGCGTGGCAGAGCACTGCGGGATATTTCGTGACTTGTTCAAGGGGGCCACGTTCACCCCCTGGGTTACCTTGAGGGTGGAGTACAGCCAAGAAGATGAGCACCTCGTGCCGGTCTACTATGGGAACGTGGTGACTCCGTCAGAGGTGCGTGAGGGGAGCTGGGAACAACCTCGACCCCATGGGAAGCCTGTGTGGTTTTGTCAGATGCTTCTAAAGGGCATTGTTCGTTCTGGGGGATTTCTTTTACAAGGGTATTTCCTCTGCGATGAAGGAAATATGTTGCTTGGACACGATGAGGACAGAGCTTTGCAACAGGATCGTTGTCTGCCGGCAGGCTGATGTTTATTAGCGCTCTGGGGGCTCTCCAGGTGGAGCTGGATTACTCAGTGGCGTGGCTGTGCCCAGTCTGTGTTGCATCCTGGCCGTGCCTGTGACGAGTTCATGTTCTTTGCCTTGGAAATCGTGATCTGGTCTTAATGGAACCTGTCGTTTGAGTGAATTACATTCTCTTTATGTTGCTGGTTTAGGCTTCCAGTCCCCCTGCAGTGTCATACGAAGCAGATAAAGGCTCCCTCTGGACTTTGTTGCTCACAAATCCAGGTGAGTAGCGAGTTCTTTAAAAAAAACATGTTTAAACTGGGTTGTTTCACTCTGCTTTTGGTTAGCTCCTGTTTCTTTTGGCTGCACAGCCAGAGGTGATGTGATATTTGCTAAGTAGGGACATATTACATATGCAGGAAGGATCGTAGCCTCCCCAAACCTCTAGCAGTTGAGAGACGGGACAGTGACGTAACAGGACCTGTGTCACAGTGCGGAGGAAACGATTCCCTGACTCCCTCCCTTCTTTTGTTTACCCCCAAACTCCTCTCCCTTGGCAGTCTGCCTGTAGGTTAGCTGATGCTGTTCACCCTGAGAAACCAAGGCACAGTGAAGTGAAGCAGCTGACCAAGAAGTCCTTTTAATCTTGGAATTACATCTGCAGAGTTCTTTGCTCCTCATTTTACGCTCAGCCCTATAAGAATGAGTTGCTTTTCTGCTAGGAAAGGATTTCTGGGAGGTCTTGAGCCGTCCCCTCTGTTCAGAGGGGGTCTGGGTGTTCTCGCTTTGGGGTTAACGCAAACACCAGGTTGTCACTAAGTCGCCTTTCTCTGCTGTGTGCGTTTGCAGATGGACATTTGAGAGACGCCGACTCGGAGTACCTCCACTGGCTGGTGTGAGTACCGCGCATCAGAGCCGCGTGCTGCTTAGCTCGGGGAAAGCGGGCAGAAACTCCTCCAACAGAGGTCGGGAATAAGCGTTCGCTAAGGCAGTTCTGCGGCTTTCTCTGGTGCTCCTGCCATTAGCTTCTTTACCCCTGTGTTCTGGGTCCTGCTAAGGATGCAGCAGTTCCAGGTGTTGCTGCTGGTTGGCATTCACGTCACTGGGTGTGATTTTTCTTCCAGTGAAAGCAGCCTCTACTATCTGTTCACTTGTCAAGCAAGGCATAAGTCATGTCAAAACGTAGCACGGTGTGACTTGCAATCCTGGGTGAATCTGCTGGTCCCAGTGGAGGGAAATGAACGGATATACAGTGAAGTAAACTTCTTTGTGTTCAGGACGAACATCCCGGGGAATGACATCAAGTCGGGTGAGGAGATCTGCCATTACTTGCCCCCCTTCCCTGCCATGGGAACTGGCTACCATCGCTTCATCTTCCTCCTCTTCAAGCAAGACCGCCCCGTAGATTTCAGTGAGGACGTTCGGCCGATGCCATGGTAATTCAGGCTTTCACTGGGCAGTTTCACACTCGCTTAGCTAGGCTGTTACTGCTTGTTATGACGACGTGCTTGTTACCGCTGTAGGATAGCGGTTCCTTTTTAACCCGCGGGGTTGTTCGGGCCTGCTTTGAGTTTTTGTGTCACCTGAAGCCTCAATCCCAGCCCTGCAAGCGCTGCAAAGTCCTGTTACTTTAAACCAGGCTGTTAAGAAAGTGGTTTGCCCTGCCTGGGGCAGAGATGTGCACAGAGCTGGAGAAGCTGGGAGATTTTCTTTTGGTGACTTCCTTTTCCACCTCTGTTTTATAGACTCGGGTGATGTGGAGAAGTAGTTGCCTACCAGGGTGCTGCAGGAAAAGAGGTTCACCTCAGCTCTTGTGCTTGTGTCTTGTTTCCAGCCACAGCCTCAAGATGCGAACCTTTAGCACGTTTGACTTCTACAGAAAGCACGAGGATGCAATGACCCCGGCGGGGCTGGCGTTTTTCCAGTGTCAGTGGGACAGCTCCGTTACTTGGGTTTTCCATCAGCTTCTCAGTAAGAAATACAGCGTGCAGGGATGCTGGAGGCGGGCTGTTTGTGGGCTGGTAACACGGGGTCAGCGAAGCGAGCTGTGGCTGTAGGCTCTTGCTTGGTCCTGGCACTTGTCTAGGATCTGTTACAGCACAGACTGATACTTGCCGGGGACAGCTCCGTTACTTGGGTTTTCCATCAGCTTCTCAGTAAGAAATACAGCGTGCAGGGATGCTGGAGGCGGGCTGTTTGTGGGCTGGTAACACGGGGTCAGCGAAGCGAGCTGTGGCTGTAGGCTCTTGCTTGGTCCTGGCACTTGTCTAGGATCTGTTACAGCACAGACTGGATACTTGCCGAGCCATCCTCCACCAAACTAGCAGCAGTCTGAGGAAACAACCTGTAAAAGGCTGTTTTGTATGAGCGTTTTAAAGTAACACCGAGAGCCTTCACCAGGGCGTGCTTGACCAGCCCTGGTCCCCTGTGCGCGTGGGGGCCCTTGCTGGTGAAGGGTCTGGCCTGGGGTTTGGATCTGAGCCGTCTTGCTAACGTTCTGCATCGCCGCTTTACAGATATGAGAGAGCCTGTGTTTGAATTCGTGCGACCGCCCGTTTACCATCCTCCACAGTTAAAGTTCCCGCGCCACCAGCCTCTGAGGTACCTGGACAGGTACCGAGACACCGAGGAGCCCACCTACGGCATTTACTAGGGGCCCAGCCTCCTCTCGAGGCGCTCTGGTGTACGCTGGGATGCTGGCCGGGCAGATGGGGCTGCCGGCTTCCCTGCGTTCACGCAGCGGTGCAGCTGGGAGCCGTCTGCGCCTCTGGAGGGAAACGACGAAGTCTCAGCCCCTCGGCTCCCAGTTCCCCTGTGCTGGCAGTGCTGGGAAGTGTGCAGCTGAGGGCAACAGGCGTTCGCAGTGCTGGCAGCTGTGTGTGGTCAAAAGGCTACTTAAAGAGGACGTTCGTAGATGAAAGCAAATCCACGGCCAGGCTGAAATCTTGCTACTGATTCTCTAGCAGAGCTGATCAGTGAGGGCGGCAGGGTGGAGTCCCGCAGGGATGCCTTGCCTTGCTTCTCTGCAAGGATCACAGTTCTCATTTTGCCTGTTCATGGAACAAACAGGGCCAGGCAGCCTGGATTTCCTCCCCGTACAGCGCTGCGATTCAGGACTGTGTCAGCTTTCATTTGTGCAGTCCTCTTAAAGAGATGGGTCTGATTAAACACACTCTGAGCGATGCTGGCAGCGCTGCTTTGTCTTTATTAGGAAGAGCTTGGTATCCCATCCAGCTGGTGCAGAGCTGGGGAGCTCAACAGGGCGCAGGGGAGAAGGGCAGCCCTTCCCCTGGCTGAGGTCTCTTTCCCCTCTTAGGCGTTGTAGGACGGGAAGAGTGCAGGTACGCAGGTGGTAGTCCTGCACAGGGTCAACGTTTGTGGAGCTGGCTTCTCCCAACAGCTACTCGAGCACGTGGACCTCAGTTTCCTTCCCCTCGCTCCCCAGACAGCACGTACCCGCTGTGGATGGGTGGAGCAAAAGCAGATCTGCAGAGCTGCTGGGGTTGGGGCAGACGCGTGGTGGTGGCCTGGCACTCTGCCCCTGCCGGTCCTGTACCCAAGCTGTGGAGAGACTCTGCTTTCTGCTGTGCTCTGCAGGGCTGTTTGTGCATCCCCCATTCACGTGTTTAAACCCCCAAATACCAACATGCTCTTGCTGTTGCAGCTGCTTGTTCCCAGCTCTGCTTCTCAGTAACTTTTCCTGACGTTCCCCCCCTTCCTCAGGAAATAAAAGCCCCCAGCAAACAACTGAGATTGTGCTGAAATGCCCCCCCCCTCCGCTGTTGCTCAGGGCCGTTACCAGCCGTGCCTGAACTCCCTGAACTCTCCTCCCTCCCCAAAGGGTTCTGGGGTCTGGTTTAAGCCGGGGTGAATTAGCTCATGAGGTGACCACCGTGGGAGTGCAGGTGTCCTGCGGTTCCAGGCAGGTGCATGGGTTGTGTCAATTTGCAGATTCAGCCCCAAGAAATGTTTGGGGGGCTGAAGCTACGCTGGGACGTGCAGGGAGTTGTGGTAGATCCCAAGTCACCTCCTGTGTCCAGGGGCGGGCTGGGGGGTGGCTCCGAGCCTGCCTGTGATACAGAAACTGCTCTGACCCCCCCCAGCAGCCGGCTGGTGAGCGCCCCAGCTGCAGCACAGACGACCTCCCCGCTCACCCTCGCCTGCGTGGGTGAAAGCAAAGCCGCGCATGTGGGGAGGCTGCAGAACAGTTGCAAACCGAGGCCATCTGCCAGCCTTCAGCTGCCGGGGAGTGTGGGCGCGAGTGATAGCCCATCCGCGAGGGTAAGGAAATAAGGTTTGGACTGGAAGGTTGGGAGCTTTTTCTCCTGAAACTGAACTGTATGAAGACAAGGTGAAGGTACGCAGTGCCCGGGCGCCGCGATCGCCTCCGGGCAGAAGGCTCCACCTGCCACCTGAGCAGGGACTGGTTGCCCAGATGACCTCTTTCTCACGTTTTGGAGTAGTGATGTGCACGGGTGTTGCAAGGAACTTAGTAGGAGAAGGAGTGGGGGGTGTGCACAGGGGCATGTGCAAACAGCAGGAGCTGTAGTTTAAAATGGAAAGATGCAAGGGCGGAACATGGCCCTGGCCGGCTGCTGGCATGTGTCACAGCCCTTGTCACTGCCGAGGGAGGTGACATGTGGCTGCAGCAGCGGTGGGTGCCCCTCTCCGCTGGTTCCCAGGCTGGCAGATGCCAGGAGTGCTGTACTGAGGTCCCTCTGCCAGGGAGGACTGCCATGCTCTGCTCGGGGACCCTGCCCTGGCAGAGGTGAGGATGCCGGGAAATTCCCTCAAAGGGCAAAAAAGGAGTGAAATCAAATTATACATTGCATGTATACCCGTGCAAACGCGTTCATGGAAATACACATAGCTCTGAACCTTGTCAGCCTCTTGCATGTGTCTCCCTGTGCTGTTGCTGCAGCGTTTCATCCTCTCCGGGGCCTCCTGCTGTGCTTCGCAGCTCTCCCTGTCCCCAGGGGGAGCAGCTCCGACCCTCCCCATCGTCTCCACAGCGCGTGGCAGAGCCGAGGGGGCACCTACTGGGTGTCTCTTTAAGAGCACGGCTGGCTCGGAGCCCTGACCCGCCTCTGGGCTCAGCGTCACCATCTTTTCCTCCTCTGCACAGCTGAGTTTCTATTTCCCCGGCTTCTTTCCCCCATCGCCCCGATCCCAGCGCAGACAGGATGGCATCACCCGTCTTGCAGAAGCTGGAGGAGAAGCTGGTGTGCTCCATCTGCCTGGAGCTGTTCAGGGTACCCGTGACCTTGCCCTGCGGGCACAATGGCCCCCCCCAGCAGCCGGCTGGTGAGCGCCCCAGCTGCAGCACAGACGACCTCCCCGCTCACCCTCGCCTGCGTGGGTGAAAGCAAAGCCGCGCATGTGGGGAGGCTGCAGAACAGTTGCAAACCGAGGCCATCTGCCAGCCTTCAGCTGCCGGGGAGTGTGGGCGCGAGTGATAGCCCATCCGCGAGGGTAAGGAAATAAGGTTTGGACTGGAAGGTTGGGAGCTTTTTCTCCTGAAACTGAACTGTATGAAGACAAGGTGAAGGTACGCAGTGCCCGGGCGCCGCGATCGCCTCCGGGCAGAAGGCTCCACCTGCCACCTGAGCAGGGACTGGTTGCCCAGATGACCTCTTTCTCACGTTTTGGAGTAGTGATGTGCACGGGTGTTGCAAGGAACTTAGTAGGAGAAGGAGTGGGGGGTGTGCACAGGGGCATGTGCAAACAGCAGGAGCTGTAGTTTAAAATGGAAAGATGCAAGGGCGGAACATGGCCCTGGCCGGCTGCTGGCATGTGTCACAGCCCTTGTCACTGCCGAGGGAGGTGACATGTGGCTGCAGCAGCGGTGGGTGCCCCTCTCCGCTGGTTCCCAGGCTGGCAGATGCCAGGAGTGCTGTACTGAGGTCCCTCTGCCAGGGAGGACTGCCATGCTCTGCTCGGGGACCCTGCCCTGGCAGAGGTGAGGATGCCGGGAAATTCCCTCAAAGGGCAAAAAAGGAGTGAAATCAAATTATACATTGCATGTATACCCGTGCAAACGCGTTCATGGAAATACACATAGCTCTGAACCTTGTCGGCCTCTTGTATGTGTTTCCCTGTGCTGTTGCTGCAGCGTTTCATCCTCTCCGGGGCCTCCTGCTGTGCTTCACAGCTCTCCCTGTCCCCAGGGGGAGCAGCTCCGACCCTCCCCATCGTCTCCACAGCGCGTGGCAGAGCCGAGGGGGCACCTACTGGGTGTCTCTTTAAGAGCACGGCTGGCTCGGAGCCCTGACCCGCCTCTGGGCTCAGCGTCACCATCTTTTCCTCCTCTGCACAGCTGAGTTTCTATTTCCCCGGCTTCTTTCCCCCATCGCCCCGATCCCAGCGCAGACAGGATGGCATCACCCGTCTTGCAGAAGCTGGAGGAGAAGCTGGTGTGCTCCATCTGCCTGGAGCTGTTCAGGGTACCCGTGACCTTGCCCTGCGGGCACAATTTCTGCAAGCGCTGCATCAACAACCACTGGCACAAGCAAGAGCGGGTGCCCGCTGGGGCCAAGAAGGGCTACACGTGCCCCGAGTGCCGCAGGGACTTCGAGCAGTGCCCGGAGCTGGAGAAGAATGTCACCCTGGGCAGCGTGGTGGAGCTGGCGAGAGATGGCGAGGCGCGGGGCTTGGGCACAGAGAGGTGTGAGGTGGCCCACGGCGAGCTGTGCCTGCAGCACGGGCGCCCGCTGGAGCTGTACTGCGAGGACGAGCAGCGATGCATCTGCTGTGTCTGCACCGTCCAGCAGTGCCAGCGGCACCAGCGGGTGCTCTTCGAGGAGAAGCGCTCTAAAAAGCAGGTGGGGATGATGGGTGGCACGACCAGGGTGGCAGGCGGGGAGGGGGGCAGGGGGAGCCGCGGCAGCTCGGGCACGGCACAACATCCACCTCCACTGTCCCGTGCCCTGCTGAGGGGATGTGACATGTCTCTGTGTGCCAAGCTATGGCCAGCCTCAGCTGAACAGGGGGCTGGCACGGGCTCTGGCCAGTGAGATGCCACCAGCGCCTGTCTGCTCCCCAAGAAACCGGGGCTGTCAGGAGCAGCAGAGAGCTGGGTAAATCCAGCAGCACCGGATGAACAGTGCCACACGAGTTAGTGACCCCCTGATCTAGAGGAAACAGCTAAAAATGGGTGAAAGACAGCACAGGGTTTCACTTCTCAGTGACCCTGGTCGCAGACTCTCCCCTTCCCAAGCCTTCTCCTTCCCTGCGAGCCTTGTCCTGATGCCCTGAGAGGGCTCCCTGGGGCCGGGCGGGCGGCAGCATGCTGCACTGCAGAGTGTTGGTGCCTCCCTTCACAGGCCCTTTTGAAAGAGTCCCTGGAAAAAGCCCAGGAGGAATCGGAGAGGATCAAGCGGGCGATGCAGGAGCTGGACGAGCAAATGCACAGCATCAAGGTAGCAGCACGGCCACCTCCGTGCCGGGTGTGCGGGTGGGTGCATGCTGGCTTTCATGGCTCTTCCCCACCCAGGACTCCACCGAGGGGCTCAAATCGGTGATTCTGAGCAAATTTGCCCTCCTGAGGAAAGCCCTGGAGGATAGCCAGTGGCAGACAGTGGCCAGGATTGAGCAAGAGCAGGCAGCGGCGCTGGGGCACGTGGGGGAGGACTGGAACCTACTGAAGGACCGCCTGGATGTCCTTGACCAGCACAGGGAGAGGGCTCAGCGCCTGCTGGCCTGCCCCGACCACAGGACCTTCCTCCAGGTACCATCCCGGCGCCGTGTCCCTCCCCATGCCCGAGCGCTGCCAGCCCCGTGCCCTTTTGGTGAGGGCAGAGACATGGTCAACCCCTTCCCCAGGCGGGACGCATCCTCAGCCCGGCTCAGGGATGTGATGGGGCTGCAGGGAAGAGCTGCTTTCGGGGAGGTCCCTGAAAAGCTGGGGGGGCGATGCTGGATCAGAGCAGATGGTGCTGCCCGCAGGGCCATGGGCAGCATCTCCACCCCCAAACTGCTCAGCAAGGCTCTTCCACTGCCAGCAAAACACAAAGTCCTGTGCCACAGCCCCTCTGCTCCCCACAGCCTCACGCTCCCTCTGCAACTGTCCCCTGATCCCACGCGCCAGCCGCAGATAACGGCAAACGTTTTGGGGACGCCTCTGTCACCCACTGGGGAGACACGGCATGTGCAGATGGGATTCGGAGCTGCCAGTCCTCCCCAGG